ACTTTGAGGGATTCAAGTCTTCAGTGGAAGAAGTCACTTCATATGCAATGGAAATAGCAAGAGGTCTAGAATTAGAAGATGTGCCTGAAGATGTGACTGAATTGCTGCAATCTCATGATAAAACTTGAATAAATGAGTTCTTACAGATAAGCAAAGAAAGTGGTTTCTTGAGACGAAATCTACTTCCAGTGAAGATGTTGTGAACATTGTTTGAAATAACAACAAAGGGTTTAGAATATTACATACACTTAGTTGAAAAAGCAGCAGCAGGGTTTGAGAAAACTGATTCCAATTATGAAAGAATTTCTACTGTGGGTAAAATGCTGTCAAACAGCATCTCATGCTACAGAGAAATCTCTCATAAAATAAAAAGTCAATTGATGTGGCAAACTTCACTGTTGTCCTATTTTAAGAAATTGCCTTAGACATCCCAACCTTCAGCAATCATCACCCTGATCAGTCAACAGCCATCAACACTGAAGCAAGATCTTCCACCAGCAAAAAGATTCCTACTCGCTAAAGGCTCAGTGGATCATTAGCATTTATTAGCAATAAAATATTTTTAATTAAAGTATGTACATTGTTTTTAGACATAACACTATTATGAACCTAATGGACTATAGTATAGTATATACTGTACTGTATACAACAAACATTTTGGTTTCCCAGTGCATACATACCGTACTATACAATATATTGCATATATGCATCGGGAAACCAGAATATTTGAGTAGCTTGCTTCATTGTGATAACATGCCTTATTTCAGGGGTCTGGAACCTAACCTGCAATATCTCTGAGATATACCTATACATATTTCCCCCCTTATTGCCTCTGAAAAAAAAAATATTTTAAGAACTTAAGAAAAACTAGAGATGAAAAGAAAGTATACCCAGATAATGAAAAGCAAATGTAAATTAGTAAGATACTATAAAACCAGAAGTTAAGCCATAATGTGCAGGAAACAACGAAAGAGAAAAACTTTGAATAGGGAAAAAATAAACAGGAGAGTCATAAGGTCCTCTTCCCCAGAGGGGAAAAAAAAAAAAACCAGAAATGACATATTTATGAAGTATACAGCCAACCAAAAGCAAAGAGATCATTAAAGAACTGTGAGTCCAGGAAACAGTAATCTCAGTTTCAAGGGTGCCTATGAGATATATGGCAATATCATGTCTTAAGAGTCTAAGGCCAGGCACGGTGGCTCATGCCTGTAATCCTAGCACTTTGGAGGCCGAGGTGGGCGGATAACGAGGTCAGGAGTTCGACCTGGCCAACATGGTGAAACCCCATTTCTACTAAAAATACAAAAATTAGCCAGGTATGGTGGCACATGCCTGTAATCCCAGCTACTCAGCAGACTGAGTCAGAAGATTGCTTGAACCCCGGAGGCGGAGGTTCCAGTGAGACAAGATCACACCACTGCACTCCCACCTGGGCTGCAGAGCAAGACTCTGTCTCCAAAAAAAAAAAAAAAAAAAAAAAGATTCCAATTACACAACATTCTTCAGCTTCCTTTGAAAGCTATAATGTCAAAACATACACATATAAGAAGATAGGACTTAGCTTTCAGTACATGATAAAAAATATGTTTATATATATACTCCATTATATCACTGAGAACCATTGCAAAAAAAAGAATTCAAAGGAAATAAAGGGTCATATAAATAAAACTTCTATACTAGTTTAAAGGAAGCTCAGAAGACAATAGGACTTTTTTTTTTTTTTTTTTTTTTTTTTTTTTTTTTGAGACAGAGTGTTGCTCTGTTGCCAGGCTGGAGTACAGTGGCACAGTCTTGGCTCACTGCAACTTCCGCCTTCTGGGTTCAAGCGATTCTCCTGCCTCACCTCCCAAGTAGCTGGGATTACAGGCACACGCCACCATACTGGCTAATTTTTGTATTTTTAGTAGAGATGGGGTTTCACCATGATGGCCAGGCTGGTCTTGAACTCCTGATCTCATGATCCGCCCACCTGGGCCTCCCAAAGTGCTGGGATTACAGGCGTGAGCCACTGTGCCCAGTAACGGGGCAATTTTTTAAAACACCGAAATGAAATGAACATCTATCTTAAAGTAATAAAGGCATTGATTTTTTCCACATATTTAATGACAATGAAAACAAAAAGCTATTCAAAAAGGAAGCTGCATTGTACTAGAAAATTCTGTTAAAGCACATTTTTATCCTTAAAACAGCAACTTTCTGCTGTAAAACACAAGAAATGACATAACTATCATTAACTTTTATTTCTTACATTAACCCAGTAGGAAATCATATCAGATCAATTCAAGAAGACTTGTTAAAACAGACCCTTATAACACACTATGGTCTTGCATCATATCAGAGAATACTAATACAACTTATCCTGAATTGGTCCTAAATTTTCACAAATTAAAATATGTTCAAGATTGTCCCAAGGGCTCACCTGGGAGCAAATCCAGTTACTACTATAGATAAGAGAATCTTGAATGAAAAGCAACTGTTGAGGAAAAAAAAAATATCCAACAGGGAAACAGAAGAGCCTTCTGTTGATAAAACTGAGATCTGTAAAAATGCGAAGAGACTAGAGTGAGAGAAGTAGAAAGTAATGTCATAAAGCAAACGAGCAGTTAACATGGGGTTTGAGGAACAGTAGTTTCAGTTTATCCAAGAGCAGTCCACAATGGCACCTAGAAATGGGCTTAGTGAGATGTCACACCCATTCCCAATTCCCACCATGGTTGCATGGTATCAATAAAAGAATCTCCTCTCTCTTTGACAACAATATACTAAATAAATACCAAATGAAAATCCATCTTATGAAAATTTCACACTTTAATGAGAATATGTTCAACAATGAATAAACACTTAGCTCAGTGGGGATAGTTATTATTTAGAATCACATTAAGTCTAGCTCTTTCATCATGTCTACCACATGAAACAATGAAGAGAGAAAAAGACTCAAGGTGACAGAGGACAGTGATCCCTGCAGAATAAATCTAGGTTAAACTTAAAAATACTGTTCTTATATTAGGTAAACAGTAGAGATAGTAAGCATAGCCAATGAAAAATATAACACACACATTATAACTTGTTTGGCTAGTTGTCTACAATATTCAAGAATATGTATCATAATACTAACAGTTTTAAGAGATTAAAAGCAAGATACATTGTTTCTCTAGATCAGTTTATAAGGAAAACTATATAACATATACTTTGGTATCATAGAAATATACATTTGTTTTTCTAATTAGAACTTGTTGATTCCTTTAAAAATTCAATCTGTCAGTCAATTTATCGAAGATGGAAAGAAGAAAGGGAAGGGAGGCAAAGGAAGAGAGAAAGAAGTAGGCAAAGGAGGAGAGGAATACTTCTAAAGTATTATAATTTCAGCAATGTATCAGCAATTTCTGTAACAGTTTTTTAAAAGGAAGAACTTTTAAGAAACTCAGTTTATGGGGTTTAGAAACATTAAGTCCTAAACTTTCTAACTAAACCTGCTTAGTTAAGTTATATCTAGAATATCAACTGAGCTTCCTCCTCCTCCTTCCTATATACCGTTTATCTCTTTCTCTCTCTCTCCCTCTTCCCATTCTGTCTCCCTCTCACTCTTTTCCTCTCTCTCTCTCACACACACACACACACATATGTGTTTAATTCCATTATTAGTTCAAAATAAGGTAATCCAAAAGAAACTGTCTAGAGAAATGGTAGAAAGAATAAAAACACACATCAACTTAAATATGTCAAAGAGCCATATCGTTTATTGGCTACACTCCCAAAACCATTCTTGTTCTCGATAAACCAATTGTGTCTGGTCTGGACAGGTGTGGCTCCAAAATCTCATAGAGAGTTTACTTCTGTCAGTGGTAATTATTAGAAACAGCAGGGGGAGGAAACAATCTCAATCTTAAATCCCAGTGTGCAGAAATCACAGTTCTAGGTAAATATCAGCTTGGATAAAAATTATAATCACTGAGGCATCTCAGTGATTATAATTTTCCTCAACATCCCTAACAAATCCACAGGTAGAAGAATTAAACACCATGCAGAGATAAGTTCCACTTTAACCTGCAATTCACCCAGAGCTTTAGTTTCAGACTGTAGCAACTCACGTAACTGGACAACATTTGGATCTACCTTAGTCCAGTATAGCAGAGTTCAAGGATGTCATATAAATTTTGATTCAAAACTCTTGAGAAACTCTTTACAGCTGATGTCACCTGCCATATCATGTCAAAACAAAACAAAACAAAACAAAAACAATCCCAAACTAAGATCCTTTGGAACAATGTTAACCTGGGCTGCATCTAAGCTAAACTGAATCCCCAAGTTCGGATTATAATCAACTATGCTTCAGTAATTCACTAGATCTTGATCAATTCCAATAATAAAAGTTGTTGAGGAGGGAGAAAAAAACAGGAGTTTGCCCCATATGGGGAACTTGACAATCATGTTATTGGATAATGCATATATCTGGAAAAGCACAATAGTCATGAAAGTTGTGCTTTATCACAAAAGTGAAGATTTACACTAGAATAAATCCAAATAAGAAATTATTTTTAACCAAAAGATAAATTATAAAGCTATAATTTTGTTCAGTGCAAATGAAATTACTTTGCTACCTTTCACAACTCTGTAATTAGCTTGATAAATATTAAACCCATGAGGAAGAGCTCCACTGTACAAGTTTTTTTAAAGACCGCTTAAAAGCAACCTTTAACAAGCTAAGAAAACAAGCTAGAGAAGATTCCAAATCTGCGGTACTGAATCTATTCTTATTACCAATGGTGATATAAACAACCTGATGTATGAAATCGTAAATATCTATCAATAAATACTATAGTCTTACTTCCTTTTACTTTAGCAAGATATTACTGAATTATGTACCACTGAAACTATATTACAATAAAAATTTCCCCCAAACTGAAGCAAAATTTTACTCTCAAATGGAATATAGTTTAAATTACAAGTACCAGAACCAACAAAAGGCAGAAATATTATATAGCAACCTCATAGCCCACCTTTCTTCTTGACTGGCATTCTTAGGTCTTTCCACTGCCACAGAATTCAAGATCTCTTTTCAGGTCTCAGTTTGATCCAGCTGGTTTGAGGCCAAGAGCCAGGTAACTGTTGCAAACCACTTCACTGCTCAGTTTTGAAATCCAGGCTGAGTCTTCTATGTCAGATAAAGAAAGTAATGATGTACTTTTTCCACAACTAAACTTTTTACACCGCCCACAGAGTTTACAGAAACGTAATTTTTTAGTTTTTCAAGTTTTTCAATGTTCAGAAAATATTTAGACTGTTTTTACAAACTGGGAAAATTATTGTAAACATGAAGAACGTTACTGAAATTCCTCTTCAGGCAGCAACATTTTTGGAAGTTCAATGACTAACTCATTTAAGGCACAAACCAAATTTAGACAGCTGTCTCATTACTTTATACATGGTCAAACTGAAACATGATGAAAAAGATCCTCAAATATGTAGAGAAAAATTTAACCCCACCTCCCAAAAAATACTTTTAAAAACCTCTTTGACTCCAGTCTCTAAAAAGATAGGTGAGTTTGAACAGTTTTCTGTGGCAGAACACACACCGAAAGGCCCCCTTCTATTTACTGATCAGAAGTTCCGGATCTCACCCCCTCAGTAACTCAGAATCCAGCTTGCTGTCACTTTCATTTTTTTCTTCTGTGCTCTCCAAGCCCCCAGGCTTGATCCTTAATGCACCTCTGATTCTGATCCTCCCATGTATTAACAGAGAGGATTGAAAAAAAAGGAAAGCAATCCCTTGGCATGGAGACATTAAAGTGACAGTGCTACTCAATGGGCACTTGATGCAGGATGAGTTGGCGAAGCAGATTTCTTCACACTGGAGTCATTCACATCATGCCATCTCTTCGCATCCAAGCAGCTCCCTATCCGGCGAGGAAAAACACTGAGACTTCGAGAGAAGCCAAACCTTCCCCCAAAGGTGTTTTCAGAGACGCCGTAGTAGTATTAGACATGTAAGCATAAGCTATGCAAACGGTCCGCGATTTCCTCAAAATGAAAAAGTGCAGCTGCTTGGCTTTCACATCCACATCCTTTTCTCTCAATCTCTCTTCAAACTACCCACCTTCCTTTTGCAGAAAAGACAAGACATTTCTCTGCCACCGCTGGCCACCCCTGCCCAAGCCCCGTTCTTTTAGGGAAGAGCACTGAAATGTCCTGCACCCTCCACGCGATGAAGTGTTTCTTCAGGCAGGAGCAACAGCAGCACTAGAAATTATATAACTCTCGAATTTGGCTTCTCTAAGACATGGAGACTGGAGGGTCGGGGGTTGCCGGTCTGGGAGATACTGCTGGGCATTTAACGTGCACAAAACAGCGCCAGGCCTTGCAGTGCCCCCCACCCTGAGACACGACTGACAAGTGGGTCTTCTCGGGGGGTAGTGGGCAAATTTCTCTCCTGTCTCCTTCCAAGCGGGGCTAAAGGATGGAAATTGAGGGGACTACAGACTGGGGAGAGGAGTCAGACGGCTGAGAGGGGAGGAGGCTAGTCGGGGCTGCTCTGACGGCGCTGGGCGGCTGGTTGGGGGTTTGGAGGAGGAGGTGCCCGAGAAACAGAGCTTTAACACCACACGGGCCAGGGCAAAGGGGCGAGTTCCCTCAAGGACTGAAAGGGGCAGGCAGCTAGTTCCCAGCTACCAGAGGTGCCCTGAGGAGAGGCAGGAGCGCAGTAACATTCCAGCATTTGGGCCGCCCCATCCTCTCCGCAAGACGCGAGGAAAACAGGGAGCTAAACTGACAAATAGCAAGGGAAGGAAATACTCTGCTGGCGATGGGGGCGGACCCACAGGCACCTGGACCTCCTCTAAGCGAATAAGTGGCCGTAATTTCTAGACACCGCGCCCAATCACAGACAGGATGGAGGGCGCGGCTTTTGACTGAGGGGGGCGGGCCCGGGCTGCAAGCGAGAGGCATGAGCCGTAAACCCGCCCCACTTCCCGCCCACCAGCAAATCACGTGAGCCATCAAAATGGCGGTGTTCGGGTATGAGGCTGGGGCCAAGCTGAGGGATTCAGGTGTGGTGCCGGTGGTAACTGAGGAAGCGCCCAAGGTAGGCGGAAATCCGAAGTGGTATGGGGGGTGATTTCTGCAGCTTCAGAGTGTTGGCAGAGTCTTCCAAGATGATACACTTAAAGGAGATTTGAAAAGTTAAAACAGCCCCCAAGTCCATGCAAGGAGCAGTCGATTAAGTCTCCAGCGGTTGTGGAAAGAGGCGGAGAGAACGTAGATTACCTAAGTTCTAGTACTCATTATCTGCGGTTTGTTTTCTCTTGTCTCCAGGCCTTTGCACAGGCTTTTTCTTCAACTTGGAATATTTCCCTGCTTCTATCCGTCCCAACTCCCCTGCCAAATTGTTCTCTTTAGGATATTGGTTTAAATGTCACTTCCTCCGGGAAGCCTTCCCACGCCTCCTCTGGCTAGATTAAGTTTGCCTTTTCTTAGGTTGTTGGGTTTTTCGTTTATGTCACTCTCTCATTCTGTGTTTAAATTGCCAGCATTTTTGTTCTGAACTCCCACTACATTGTGGATTCCTGAGGATGGGATGACTGTATCTTGATTACTCGGAGGCCTGGCATATACCAGGTGCTCCCTAAATTATGAGAGAATACTGAATAAAATTCTAAAGTTGAAATTTATTATTAGGTGAAAAATGTATTATTAGGTGAAATAATACACATGAAAGCACTACAAAACCGTTAAATGATTTGCAAACTATAATCCACTCTTACTGGTATAAGCGTGGTGACTAGTTGAGTGGCCTTAAGAGGGGAGGGGTGTAATGAAAGCAGTCGATTCTTTGACAGTGCCTTGCAAAGCTTAAGCACTCAATAATATTTCCTGTGTTCTTTTCAGTATTTGCTATCCTGTAATCATAATCCTGGGTGTCTGCTTTCCCTATAGAGAGTTTAGGGTGTAGACTAGGTAGGAGATTAGTAGAAGATATTGCCTGGAAGTTTATTTTGTTTTTTGTTTTTGGTGGAAGGTGGAGGACTTCAGTGAATTGGATGAGAGCAAAACAAAAATTTATGTAAGGTTTATGGTTACTCATGTTATTGACATCTGCCATCTTAGTACAATAGATGGGTTAGGTATAGAATCTCCCTTAGATGTTACTATCCCTTATACTTTCCATTTGGGTGTCCAGGAGAGGAAAAAGATGTAAGTCTAGTCACTGAAAAATTGTAATTTGTAAAATATTTTACTTTTTTTTCCCCCTGCCCTCTCCAGAAATGTTACAGAAAAAGATTGAGTACAATTCTGCGATGATGCAGAGAAAGAAATTGGTCCATTATTACTCATTGTGTAATGCCATAAGAAGGTTCAAAGAAGCTCATAACTTACGTATGTTGATGCCAGGAGCCGTGTATAATCAACTGGCCCTTCTATAGTTAGGATTGGTACATACCGCTCATTCAGCAAATGAGTATTACGGTAATATTCAATATGTGTCCATTGACTACAGCATCAAAAGCACTCGGTGCTATTAAAATGCAGATTCTAGGCCTCATCCTACTCCTGCTGAATCCAGATATCTCAGGAGGGAGTTCATGAGACTGCATTTCAAATAAATACCCCATGTGATTCTTGTGCATGCTGAAGGTTGAGAACCACTGATTTATGAAGTATTTTGTGTATTCATTATGCTTTATCCCCTCTAATCCTCTTGTCTAGGACTCCTTAACCTTGAGATTTAGTATTTGCCTTCAATATAAACGTTAAAATTGAGATTAGTGTACATTTGTAAAGAAGCTATTTGGCTAATCTGGAGGAAAAAAAGTAAAAAGCAGTGAATTTAGCGGCAATAGACTTTCCACTTGGCTGCTGTAGTAGGTAAACATTTGCAACTACATGTTTGGATTTAACAAATGTTATTAAGACTTTTCACAGAAACTCTAGAGTCTTGCCCAGAGCAAAACATTCAGAAAGGATCCTGTCTGAGAGTGCAGGGTTTGTTTTCTTGTTGTTGTTGATTTGTTTTGTTTTTTAATCTCTCTAGTTTCTGTTAAGATGCTACTGGCCAAGTCTTCATGGTCCCTTGACATTGGCAGCTGTCTGTTCATCACACTTGGGACACAAGAACCTTCCAACCAAGGAGCCCAGTGCTGTGGGTCTCTGGGGCCCGGCGCGGTGGCTCACGCCTTTAATCCCAGCACTTTGGGAGGCCGAGGCAGGCAGATCACTTGAAGTCAGGAGTTCGAGACCAGCCTGGCTAACATAGTGAAACCCCGTCTCTAGTAAAAATACAAAAATTAGCCAGGTGTGGTGGCAGGTGTGGGTCTCTGCTATACTACATAATCATTTCTAGCAAAGGCTCTGCTTCCACCACAGGTGGTAATAGGGAACTGGTTATGTAATTTATGTACTTCAAAGTAGTAGCCACAATCTACTGCCTGTTCCCTTCCTGGAGCAGTGTCCCTCTTTCTGATTTTTCTCTCTCACTGTTCTCCAAGGCAATCCCTGCTCTCTCCTACCTCTCTAGGAAATGAAACACGATTTCCAAAATGAACTCAGTCTTTCATGAGAAACTGAGGATAGAGATGTCAATAAGCAGCCATTGTTTCCACCTCCCCACCTGAAGAGCTAGGAGGACAACTACAAAGGGCCTGACTGCCTTCTCAGAATGAGGAGAGAGGAAAACAGAAACAGTATCAGTATGTTATCCCTCTAAACTAAATCTTAAGCAAGCCAACCTTTCAGACCCTCAGTTTCTCATCTGTATAGAGATAATCATTATACTACCAATTTCTCAAGTTAGTGTGTGAATCAGAAAGCCAATGTCTGTGTGTTGTAGGATGTTTAGCAAGAAAATAAAAAATAATAACAAAAAGCCAATGTCTAACAGATAATAAGAGCTCAGTAAATGTTGATTGAATTATTAACAAAATATGTGAAAGCAGACAACACAGTACCTGGCACACTACTAAACTGTAAATGTTTTCAAATCTGAATCTGTAGAATTCTGTAAGGTTTTATGTAATATGAATATCATTAGCTATTATGGCTCTGGAATTTTTTTTTCCAGGATGTCAAGATGACAGCATCTATGCATGGTCAACCCAGTCCTTCTCTAGAAGATGCAAAACTCAGAAGACCAATGATCATAGAAATCATAGAAAAAAATTTTGACTATCTTAGAAAAGAAATGTAAGAGAAATACCCAGGCTGAAAATCATTTTATTTGCAAGTCTTTTGTATTGCCATTGTTTCTGAGATCCTATTCTTTGTTATCCTATTCTTTGAGTTGGTTATGAAGAACACATCCTTAAAAAAAAGAATGAGGGAAACAAGAACAGATGAAAATAGTGGTTTGTTGGAATATTTGGGATTGTGGATAATTTCTTTTGTTTCTTAAAAAGTATCCAAAAGTATTGCTAAAACATTTGTGCAGTAAATATATTTTAATTAAAAGTAAGAGAAAATCATTGGGGGGGTACTTATATTTAATTGGTGAGTAATTATAATCAGTTAAGGATTGATTATCTCAGCCACAGTACTTAGTACAGCAAAAGGGAATACAGATTTCATAGTATAAATACAGTCTCACATTAACATATTGACTTTTTTTTTTTTGAGATAAGAGTCTCACTCTGTCACCCAGGCTGGAGTGCAGTGGCACAATCTCGGCTCACTGTAATCTCCATCTCCCAGATTCAAGTGATTCTCCTGCCTCAGCCTCCCAAGTAGCTGAGATTACAGGCGTGTACCACCACACCCAGCTAATTTTTGTATTTTTAGTAGAGATGGTTTCACCATGTTGGCCAGACTGGCCATTTTGACTTTTAAATGAATGGAGTTCAAGAATAAAACCAAAGGACAGTTGATCTTATTTCCTGGATTTAGGTATGGGTCTTAATAAGAAAACTAGATCAGATTTTTTTGGATGAAATTTTCTAAATCTTGGACAAATTATTTTAAATGTATCTGGGACTAATGCAGAAATAGAAGGCCTAACCAAATGTAAATAGCTTTTTTTTAGATGAACTTAAGCAAAGTAAATCTTTTAGTTGCAGGAAAGGTATTCTTCGATTTGGGTAACTCATAAAATTTGGCTACATTGGAGCATATTTATATTTATTTGTGACCAAAATTATTTAAAAGAGCTCTATTTTAGAACTACTGTAAATATTCTCAGAAAGAGAATCATGTCCTCTCATTGGAATACAAGTTCTATGAGGGGTGGGAAATTTCTTTCCTTTTCTTTTTTTCTTTTGCCTTGTTTACTGCCCTATCTTAAGCACTTAGAAAATACTTTTCACATAGTAAGTGCTCAAGAAGTATTTCATATTGAGTAAATATGCAATAACAACTTTTTAGGAAAGGCTGTATCCATTAAGTTCAATGTTACAGTGAACTGAATTTTTCTTTTTTTCTATTAGGACACCAAATATATATCAAACGACGTCATTTGGAACAACAGCTGGTTTCTCTGGAATATTCTCAAACTTTCTGTTCAGACGCTGCTTCAAGGTTAAACACGATGCTTTGAAAACATATGCATCATTGGCTACACTTCCATTTTTGTCTACTGTAGTTACTTACAAGCTTCTTGTAATTGATCCTTTGTATTCAGGTGAATTTAAATTCACTAATGTATAATGTAGTTTTGTCTAAGTAAAGTTACTGATTAACAGATGCTGTTGCTACTGCTAATAATAATTCTTTACATTTATATAGTGCTATACAGTTTACAAAGTCCCTTCATATACCTTGTCGTATTTAATCCCTGCAACAGTCCTCCTAATGAGGTAAATCGTATTTTTTTCTTTTTGTAGATAAGCAAGCAACCCAAACTGAGGCATGTTCAAGTACACTAATAAACAACATACTGGGAAAAGAATTGACTGTGGCATATAACAAACATCATTTCAGTATCCTACCTCCTGCCACTTAAGTTTTGTGACATTCAGCAAGTAATTTCATCTCTGAGCCTCCCTTGTCTTATCTATGAATTAGGACTAATAGTACTCACCTCACAGGATTTTGTGAGAATTAAAAGATACTGTAGGTTAAATGACTACCACAATATCTGTCATATTATGGGCTTTTAATGTTATTTCCTGCCCTTCACCTTACCTTGAGTTTCACAACTAGTAATTGATAGAGCCTCTATCCATCATTCATTCTTCAGGTCCCTGCTTAAGTATCTTTTCCCCACGGAGACCTCTGATTCCCTCATTGTACATTAGGTGTCTAGATACATTCTCTATATAGTTTATCTTCAAAGTATTGTGTACACTTATAATTATTTAAATATTTATCTCATGTCTTTCATTACTGTAAACTGGCCAGAACATCAGAGATCAGGTGTCTTTTATATACCACTGTATTCCTAGCACCTAGCACATTCCTGATACATAGTAGATAATAAAAATGTATTAACCTAGAATCCAGGTCTGGTCTGCTAGTTTAGTATTCTGTCATTATAAAATTGCTTCTGGCTGGGCATGGTGGCTCATGCCTGTAATCCCAACACTTTGGGAGGCCAAGGCGGGCAGATCACTTGAGGTCAGGAATTCGAGACCAGTTTGGCCAACACAGTCTCTACTAAAAATAGAAAACCAGTTGGGTGTGGTGGTGCACGCCTATAATCCCAGCTACTTGGGAGACTGAGGCATGAGAATTGCTTGAACCCTGGAGGCAGAGGTTGCAGTGAGCCGAGATCATGCCAGTGTACTCTAGCCTGGGCAACACAGTGAGACTCTGTCTCTAAAAAATAAAATAGCTTCTACAACAACCACATATGTTAGAGGTAATTCTCTATGTGATAAAGTACAATAAAAACTTTTTTTTTTTTTTTTTTTTTTTTTTTTTTTTTTTTGAGACGGAGTCTCGCTCTGTCGCCCAGGCTGGAGTGCAGTGGCCGGATCTCAGCTCACTGCAAGCTCCGCCTCCCAGGTTCACGCCATTCTCCTGCCTCAGCCTCCGGAGTAGCTGGGACTACAGGCGCCCGCCACCTCGCCCGGCTAGTTTTTTGTATTTTTAGTAGAGACGGGGTTTCACCATGTTAGCCAGGATGGTCTCGATCTCCTGACCTTGTGATCCGCCCGTCTCGGCCTCCCAAAGTGCTGGGATTACAGGCTTGAGCCACCGCGCCCGGCCTAAAAACTTTTTTAAATGTGCTGCATTTAGCCTGTTATATGCCACAGAGTTTGAATTTCTGATATTCTTTCTATGGTTTAGTTGTGGTTGAGGATAGTGCAGATAACTACTCTGAGGTACAACACTGTCTTAATAGTTCTTGAGTTTTAAAGGAAAACCAAATTTACTTTTGTTTTCCAGAAAATATAAGCAAGGAAAACTGTGTTTTCAGAAGTTCACTGATCGGCATAGTTTGTGGTGTTTTCTATCCCAGTTCTTTGGCTTTTACTAAAAATGGACGTCTGGCAACTAAGTAAGTTGTTCCTTTTCCTTCTTTTTTACTTTTTTTTTTTTTTTAGGTTAATAAACTCTCTTTTTTCTTTAGCTGTCTATGATATATTTGAATCAAAATGTGGTCATTTGGTATTTCAGATAGCTAACTTTTAATTTTTTGCTCTCTACATTATAGACCTAGAAAGGCAGTTATCAGTTTAGGAGAAGTCAACAAACTTCTAATAGCATTCATATCCAGAAGAAGTGATTAACTCTTTTTTCTTTTTAGGTATCATACCGTTCCACTGCCACCAAAAGGAGGGGTTTTACTCCATTGGATAAGGCTTTGTCAAACACAAATGAAATTAATGGTGATTCCTCTAGTCTTTCAGACTATGTTTGGAATATTAAATGGTCTATACCATTATGCAATATTTGAAGGGACACTTGAGAAAACTATACATGAAGAGTAACCAAAAAAAATGAATGGTTGCTCACTTAGCAGAATGAAGTTTTTATAAAGAGGACTCAGGCATTGCTGAAAGAGTTAAAAGTAACTGAACAGATAATTTGTTTCTGTGCCTTTTGCCTGGTATAGCAAATACTCAAAAAATATTCAATAATTCAATCAATAAATATAAGTTTCATCTTACATGTAAGATACAAGTTTTATCTCCTGATGGTGTGTCCATTTTGCCTGGTATGTAACAGATAATAAATATTCAGTATCAATAAATATAATAATAAAAGTTTCATCTTTCCTTTTTGTATGCGGAAATGGGTTTGGGCTTCAAGGTCTCATCTGTGCAGCTATACATTCATTCATCAAACATTTATTGAGCTATTTCTCAGGCACTGTGTTAAATATAATAAACATTTTGGCTGGCCATGGTGACTCTTGCCTGTAATTCCAGCACTTTGGGAGACCAGGGCGGACGGATCACCTGAGGTCAGGAGTTTGAGACCAGCTGGCCAACATGGCAAAACCTCATCTCTACTAAAAGTACAAAAAAATTAGCTGGGCATGATGGTGTATGCCTGTAATCCCAGTTACTTGGGAGGCTGAGGCAGGAGAATCGCTTGAACCCATGAGGCAGAGGCTGCAGTAAGCTGAGATCGCGCCACTACACTCCAGCCTGGGCGACAGAGCAGAACTCCATATGAACAAAAAAAAGAAAATGAACATTCCTTACCTAGAAGGAACTCAATTGAGGAGGATAAGAAGTGTGAACATACACTATGAGAGGATTTGAGAGGTATACACATAATTCTGTAAGGGCACTGAGGGTATGCTTGTTAACTAGGCAGAAGGGGAAGCTGTGGTGGAAAAAAGTAACAATTGAGCCAAATTTTGAAGGAGGAATTGGAAGTTCTTAAGGAAGGTATGGGAATAACATAGCCCATTTCTCTGCATTGATACTATCTTCTCATTTACAAATTGTCTTCACCATATAGTTCAAAGAAATTGTTTTTAACCTTCAGTTCTTGTTTCCAAGAAAGAATATTTATTGAGTGCCTATCTGCCATGCATTGAGATAGGCACCAAGGGTACAAAGATTCAGTGCTTGTCACTAAAGAAGCTTAAAATCTAAAGAGTTTACAGCATGTTTCTTTAGAGTCTGCTAAGGCATCCCTGAGCTACGCATTTATCTTAGTTCAGAAAATGAACATGGATGAGAAGAATTACAGAATGGAACTGTACATCGCATTCTCCATATCATAACCATATTCATTTTGAGATTTAAAATGTGGTAATCCTGGAAATATAACAAGGTTGACTTCAGTTCACCTCTCCTACCACCAGAAAGCTAAATAGATTTGTACCTTACTCCATGACTTCAGATTGTCTTTGTAATTAAAAAAAGCTGGCAAGGCAATCAATATTTCCTTTAGCTTAGGAAAGCACTACTTGTCAAAGTGACTATAGGAGGCTGAAAAGAGAAATTAGGGAAACCTTGACCTTCTGGGCCTGAACCCAAAGGTGAAGCCAGGTGAGCCAGTGAAGAAAAGCAACATGTGCAGAAGGTGTGAAGTACAGCTTGGAGCTCCATTCAAGGAACAAATCCTGGCCTCATTACTTACTAACAGGATAATCTTGAATAAGCTACTTCATCTCTCTGCACTTAAGTCTCCTTATCTATAGAATGTGGAATAAAAACTGTACTCAGTCTCAAAGTATTGTATTAAATGAGTTAATATATGTAAATCAAAACAGTACCCAACTCATAGGAAGTCTATATGTATTAGCTGCTATCTTAGTCCACTTGGGCTACTGTAACAAAGTAGCATCGACTGGGTGACTTATAAACAACAGAAATTTATTTCTCATAGTTCTGGAAGCTACAATTTGGTGTCCGATGAGGGCCTGCTTTCTGATTCATAGGTAATGCCTTCTTGTGTCCTCAGATGATGGAAGGGGCAAAAGAGCTCTCTGGAGCCTCTTTTATAAGGGCAATAACCACATTCATGGGGCTCTGTCCTCATGACCTAATCACTTCCCAAAGGCCTTACCACCTAATACCATCCCCTTGGGGTTAGTATTTCAAAATTTGAATTCAGGGGCACAAACATTTAGACCATAGCAGCAGCAATTATTGTTGCTATTGCTGCATATCAAGTATTATGGTCCTCTTCCTAGTCTGTAGTTATCAGTCTAGCACTTCTGTAGAGAAGATTAGAAAAGTCCACCAAAGATAATCCACAACATATCTTTCATTTGAATAAACATGTATTCACTTATTCAGCTAATGTTGATTCAACACTCAATACTACAGGTTGAGCAAGTTATGTAAACTTTCTGTGTTTTAAAACATATTAATAACTGCTTTATACTGTGGTTCTAAAGAGTAAAGTACATAAAACCATACCATACCACACCTGGCATGTAGAAGTTGCTCAATAAATGTGTTTACATTGTCTGTTTTTCCTGATAGGTGTACAATAATAACTAAGATATGGTCCCTCTTATGAGAACTTACCTTCACTCTTACCTCTTCATTTCCCCTGACTCCCTTCACCATGTGATTTTCCCCACTTTTGTGGTGTTATTGCATTGCACTGCATTGCTTGGGTTGTATTGTGTACTGATTTTCTCTCTGCTTTTGTACAATTGTTTTATCCTGCATTAACTATTCAGTTTTTGAATTTTCAAGTTTAAATAGTAATCTAATAATGAAGAAATAGTATTTTACACATGTGGTTGAATTTCATAGAATTTGTTCACCCACTTTCCTCAGCTTCATTAAAAAACAAAAAAAGAGTCTTCCAAAGATGCATACCCCATACTCCCCTAGCTTCATCATTCTAAAAAACAGGCAAACTGACATTAATAAACATGAATAATTGAATCTTGGTAGCCCTAAACCCCACCAGCTTCACTACAGGAACAAAGAAATCCACTCCAAAGTCTCCCCAAGATTAGACATTGCAGAAGAAAAGATTAGTGAACCCAAAGACAAAGCAAACTACAAAACTACCACAAGAAAGCTTGGGGGAAATTGTTCAGGACATTGGATTTGGCAGCTATTTCTTGGATACGACATCAAAAGCACGAGTAGCAAAATCAAAAACAAACAAATTGGGACTACATCACACTGAAAAACTTGTGTGTGTCAAAATAAAAAACAGCATGAAAAGGAAACCTAAAGAATGGAAGAAAATAATTGCAAGTCGTACATCTGATAAGTGGTTAGTATTCAGAATATACAAGGAACTTCTACAACTGAACAACAAAAACCAAATAACTTGACTTCAAAAATGAGCAAAGGACTTGAATAAACATTTCTCAAAAAAGAGATATACAAATGGCCACTAAGCATATAAAAAGACACCAGCATCACTAACCATTAGGGAAATGCAAATCAAAACCATCACCTCACGCCCATCAGGATGGCCACTATCCAAAAAACAGAAAATAAGAAGTTAGAAACCTTGTGCACTGTGTTGTGAATGTTGCCATTATGGAAAACAGTATGGTGGTTCCTCAAAAAATTAAAGGAAAATACCATGCAGTACAGCATTCTCACTTCTGGATATATATCCAATTCAGAACAAGATCTTGAAGAGACCTGTGCACATTATTCACAATAGCCAACAGGCGGAAGCAACTCAAATGTCCTTCAATAGATTAATAAAGAAAATGTGGTATAATACAACAAAATATTATGCAGCATTAAGAAGGAAATCTTTCCACATGCTACAACATAAGTGAAACTTGAGGACATTACACAAAGTGAAATAAGCAAAATAAGCAGTCACAAAAGGACAAATACTGTGTAATGCCACTCATACAAGGTACCTAAAGTAGTCAAAGTTATAGAAATACAGTAGAAAGATGGTTACCAAAGGCTGGGAGAAATGGGAAGGAGGAATTAGTATTTAGTGGGTATAGAGTTTCAGCGTTGCAAGATGAAAAAGTTCTAGAGATCTGTTGCATAACAATGTGAATATATTTAACGCTACTGAACTGCACAGTTAAAAATGGTTAAGATGGTAAATGTAATGTTATGTGCTTTTACTACAACAACAGAAAAATCCTGCAACCAAATACTGTTTTAGACTTACACAATGTGAAATAATGAATCACCAGAAGGCTTGCATTCTAAGAAATCTTGAAGAAGTGTTTCAAATAGAAGGAAAACGATATCAGATGGAAATCTAGAAAAATGAGGAACACTAGAAGTGGCAAATCTGTGGGTAAATATAAATTGTCCTTATTTTAAAAACTTGTTTCAAAAACAAATGACTTTATATTATGTGGTTTATAACCAGTAGAAGTAAATGTATGACAATAACTCAAAGACTAGAAGGGAAGACATGAAGGTATAAAATTCTAATACTATACATAAAGTGACATAATATTACTTGAAAGTAGATCATGATAAAGATACTCTTGGGGGGGTTGAATTGGCCCCTTCAAAACATATGTTCAAATCCTAAGCTCTGTACCTGTGAATATGTCCTTACGTGGAAACAGGGTGTTTGCAAATGTAATCAAGTTAAGATGCAGTATATTGGATTAGGATGAACTTTATCCAATGACTGATGTCTTTATAATACCAGGTAAATTTGAGTACACAAACACAACAGAGAGGGAAAACGTCCACATAAAGCCACAAATACATAAGGGGAAACACCACGTGAGTACAAAAGCAAGGATTGGAATGACACATCTATAAACCAACGGACACCAGGGACTGCAGGCAACTACCAGATGCTAAAAGAGAAGGATCGAACAGATTCTCCTTCGGGGCCTCCAATAGAAACCAACCTTGCCAATACATTAATTATAGACTTACAGCCTCCAGAACAGTGAGAGAATAAATTTGTTGTTTTAAGCCACCCAGTTTGTGGTACTTTCTAAAGATAGCCTTAGGAAACTACCTGTGTACTATATATGCTAAAGCAATCATTACAATTTTTTAAAAGAATTATAACTAGTAGGATACGAAAGATGATGAAATGGAAAAAAAATCAATTAGTCCAAAAACAGGCAGAAGGAAATGTAGAACAGATAGGACAAATAGAAAACAAATAGAAAGCTGATAGATTTAAAGTCTAAAATATAAAAATCATATTAAACATAAATGGTCCAAACACTCCCCCATGAAAAGTCAGAAATTGCCTAATTTAGATAAAAAGCAAAATCCAGCTATATGGTCTAAAAGAAAACCT